TATATATATATAAATATATATATTATATATATATATATATAGGTATATATCAGCTCTGAGTTTGCCTTGGTCATCTGGCACTAATTGAAAGACCCGTTTTGCTCAACGGTTCCCAGGACACTTCACAGCATCCAATTAGATGGCACTTGTGGGACATGGGTCTCCCATGTTTCCACATTTTATGATCTGGTAACCAAACTTGGCTGTTTATCTAATTGTTTACCCCATTAGATGTGTGGTGAGTTGACAAAAAGGTCCGAAAACATGAATAGTCGACCGCTGTCTAGTTATCTGCCTTTGCCGTCTCTGGGAGTGCATTTCCTTTTGTGCTTTCTTTTTTGGTCCTGGTGAATAGAACTACCCTGGCAATTTTCACTTCGAAGACTCATCGTTTTAAACTTATCAAAATCTCTTCACTTTTCAGGCTGACATGAACCAAGTGATGCTCCAGTCAACAGATGTCGTCAAAGCAATCCAGGCTGCTGCAAAAAAGCAAAAGGCGGAGTTTGACGAATGCTAACTCGTATTAGGTACCATACGCTCTCGAAATGATCCAATTATTACTTGTGATTGACTTGTTACTTACTGCAAGGATAATTTTATGCTTTTGTATACGGAATATCTTTTTTTCATTGTATCGATACAAATGGTGGTAACGTTTCCTCTACCCTTTTGATGCGCGACAAATAAAACGTGCCGATAATGTGTTGGAAAGGTTTAGCAACACAGCGAAACTGACAGGTTGTTCTCGATCAAATAAAGGTTTGTGATTACAACGATGGAAAAACTGCTGGGCGACCTCCGTGTAAGGTCTAGGGAGAAAGTGTGTGGACTGGTGCGGGTAACTCAGCTCAGGGGTCATTAGCTTCATCATCACCGATAGCATGACATCGGTGTTCAACACCAATGCTTTTCTGCCGTACAACCATGACTTATTTGAGAACCTTATTGATAAGAAAAGGATGGGAAAGGGATTTGGTGCCAGCTTACCACAATCACTCCGAGGTGCCTACACCTCCAGACACCTGTTCAGGCAATCTGGATAGAAACTGACAACACTAGAGCCATTGGCAGCCATATCTTGCAGCGTCTTCAACCAGGTGAGTGGGGACTTCGCGTTCGCCTTCCTCGAAGGGGAGTAACACCAACAGCACCCAAACTTCTCGTAATCTCTTTCATATCCCTTTGCCAGATCGAGGGTTGGCCACCTCTCTACTTCCGCACCTTTGAACTGGGCACGAAAAACAGCACTCTCTTAGGCAAACGGTGCTTCGGCATACGCAGAAAATGTCCCAACCATTAGCTTAGTATGTGGAATTCTGTCAAAGACTCAAATGATTCACGACATCTAGCCGGTATTATGGATTATAATGACCGTATCTGAGTTTTATCATGCCACACAGAGGATTTTCATCGGAATGACGTATCTGAACAGATTCTTGGGTAAACTGTTTGACGGTGTGACACACACGGTCAGCCTTTCTTTCAATACTGACTTTAGAGTATTCAGTCGGTCATTACCTATGAAAATGTGAGGGGACTGCTTGATTCGCGCTAATCTTCCAATTCCATTGGCCGCTTCACGTGATCTGGAGTTCGTTGGCTTTTTACGTGCTGACTTTTCAGGTTACTGGTCGGATGAGATAAATTGAGTAGGATCTTCATGGAGGGGTCACTCTGCCCTTAAAAGCCGACCAGGTCATAAGCTGAGCCCTAGATATGACAAATAAATATTGACATAAATGCATGGACTGAAGACGACTCATGAAATACATTCTCGTCACGTGATGATAAGGATGATGGATCTATTGTCGGTACAATGCTTGTGCATTAGTGCGTTTTGGGGATGAGCTCCGGAATGTGGAACATGTTTGCCTCTTTTGAGCGTGAACAGGACATGAGCCGTGACGGCGGATTTCGGCGTTCAACGTTACCAAGACTACGCTTGTTGCTTTGCGAGGAGAGAGTATGCGCCTATCGATCAAGACCGGTCGGCCGGAGAGTAAAACCAGCTGAGAATCCAAGGTCGCGATCCCGCTCGCATTCGTCGAAATTGCTGTGAAAAGTATGAGAAAACAACCGTGGTTAGCTTAGTCGCATGGATAGTGCTGTGGCTATGGTGATAGGATGTCAAATTTACAGTGTTATGCACCAAATTCTATTTGCTCCGCTTCCACTCTATTTGGAATAGTAAGTTTTCCAGAACTTGTCCGCCGAACTGAATATCATTTTGTGTTTCTGGTGGACAAGAAATGCGGTTAATGTTGCCTCGATATCATTTTTTGGATGCCTACAAGTTGCAACTGACACGTTCTAGCAAATCCAGTTGATGTCAACCAAAGGTTACTTATAATTTCAAAATAACTCGAGCACCAGTGGATTTGTCAACAGAAAAATCGTTCAGCTGTCACGCCCTTTCGGCGCAGAGCTGCGGTGCAACCCGAAGGATGCACGGGGGCTTCCATACTCTCAAGTTACCCAATTCTAGACAGGAGCGACCGAAAAGCCAGGGTTGGGTAGGACTGAGAATATTTTGGTTAGTAGTTTTGTTCTAGCAGATAAGGTAGCGTGCAATTATTCTTCACTTACGCAGTCCATCCCACTTGAACTACTTTTGACTACTTCCAGAGACGCTTCAGTCGGAAGGCCCATGTGATTCATATGTTTTCCTTTAACGGGAAGGTCATTCGTCAATTTGGACAAAAAAACAAACAATTTTATCTAGAGAACTATCTTTCAACTATTGAAATCCTCTGACAGAGTGAAGTGGCAGTTGCTGAAGTGGCGTCGATTAAGGCAACGATGACCTTGAAGTGGTGGAATTACTTTTCATTTTGGATTTAAGTGGGATGAGGCTGTCATAATTTCGACATCTACCAAGGTGGAAAAATGCTCTGAAATGTCCAGCGAAAGAAAGTGATATTCAGTCATGATTTAAGGGTTCAATCGGACGATCTACACAGCCATCACTAGGACTGAGGCGAAAGAAAAGGGAATTCCTAGGAGCCGCTGCTGCCACGTAACTTCTAGTAGGAGTCCCTTTTCGGAAAAAGAACCCGTTGCTCTATACCAGTTTCACACGGATACCATTTTGAACACCTTCCTCAGTTTAGCACTGTCAATTCAAATCAATTTCAATTTATCAGCTATAAACCGTGTACCATTAGTAAATTGGTTTCAGCTGCTACAGCTTCAATCACCGGAAAACGGGAGCGTGGAACAAACAGCCAAGCCTTGGAGACGATGGTATGTTCAGTTTGTTCGGAAATCGGGTAGCTATGCTTTGAAGACGATAGTTTTGACGCACGAGTTCCATTGACTGCTCGACGGGACCATTTCTGCCAGTGTCACTAGCCATCGGTTAGTTGAGTCCCGAGGTACCCATTCAAAGAGGCATCAGTTGCCGACCCGACCAAATTTTCTGGTTAGTACGTCGTTGTCAGGTCATACACTGCCCAACTCTCGGTCGGTTCCACTCAGTACAGGGCTAGAATAAAAAGAGCTCTGTGAGGCAGACGGTCTTCTGGCACGTGGAGTACATGTCCTAATCAACGTGACCTAGAAAACGTGAGTAATTCATCTATCGCGACAAAGTTCATTCTTCATAAGTTCATCTGGCATACTTCAACATTGCTAATCAGATGTCCTAATTATGGGATATTGGTTTTACCGCGGATTGAAAATTATTTATAAAGTTTGATTGTGATCCCTCGTCATACTAGAAGTCCAGTCCAATCCTTGGTGGTAGTTGAAGGTTCATATACCTTCAAACAACCTGGAGATGAGGAAGCGTTTGATGCGCAACTTTGTACAACATCGAGGGCCCACACATGAAGTCGGATATTCATACTACGATTCCGTTCAAATGCACTTAAGTAGGATACATAAGATCGAAAACTGGGCTCATGTAACAAGCGAATGGAAGACATCGGTGTTCGAATATCTGAAGCATTTGATTAGGTGCGTGTAGTCCTGTTTGCCGAGCTTGGCATTTGTCTTGAACGCTTCTCTTCTGCCACACGGACCGGGTTAGCTGCTTAACGAATTTATGAACACTGGTCAACACAAGGATATTGGGATATCCAGTAGTCACATGTGCAGGGCGACGACTACGCCACCCAGGAAGTCTCTAGGATGTCGTATGCGGAACGTTCCTGAAGGTGAAATGGCCGTTATGGATCCGATAAGGTGGAAAAACCCGACCCGAAGTTCGTCATTGCAGTAGATATCAGCGTACCTGAGTAAACACTAGTAATCATTCAGCTGTGGCACCCTGCACAACTGCCGTGCAGCTTGTAGAAAAGCACTAGGTTTCAGATGCTCTCAAACCGCACAAGCCTAGACACAGGAGCAATCCAAACGCCATGGTTTTGGTACAACCTGTGACTTTCTAGTCACAAGCCTGAAAAACCGGGTGGTGTCGACTTGTTTTGAGTCATTTCGAGCTGTGTGCAACTGTGTGAGGGTGAATGTTTGCATGTAATGATGAAAGATACTTGGGTTTAAAAATGACGGCTGACGGAAATAAACGATACTGGATGGCTAAATGGGTGGCGTTCATCTTTCAGTTACTCTCCAAAAGGCTAAGTCCTCTTGAGAAGGAATCTAGGGCACAAGTTTGTTGGTTTCATGAATAGTCTTTCTTGAGAACAGTCGCTATGGTTGAATACGTGCGTGAGGCAATTACCTGTATGCTTTCCTCCAGTTCATCACCAACCTCGCTCAAGCGTCCACTGAAGTGCGCAGAACTGATTTGTTCTGGCAGGCTAGCCGATCCTCGTCGGCTCAAATTGTAACTGGCGAGGATCGAACCGCTTCGACTGCTGCGCCCGAAAACTGAAGTTTGGTAGACAGCCGCTCCATAGAAAGTCTGAAATAGAAATGTTAGGTGGGTTTGTAACCGTGATCTTTGACAAGGTAGGACGCAAGTTTACAATAAATTTGAAGAGTCCAGCACTCAGCGAGTAGAATCGGGTGTTTCAGTATAAACTTTCCGTGTTTATTTCGAGAGTTGAGTACAGCCTATAGAAGAGATCAAAAACTCAACACACTTCAAAGCTACTTAGAAGTAGTTACACGGTGTGGAAAAAATTTCACTGTAGGATCGAGATATCGTGACAGGCTTGTCATCTGACGGAATAATCAGACCATTCATTAAGCCGCCATGCGAGATATCGGGACAATCGCGCACATCACTCGAGCGTGAATTTGTTCACCCTTTCCTTCGGAATCCTTCGGTATGCCCTCATACTCTGCTTCGCCTGTCTTGTGTGAACCCCTCGTACGAAAGATTGCAGGAATGGCTGGTAAGATCTACTCAAAACGTGACTCCGGTCCTGCGCTTCCTCTCCTCAACCAAGTGATCAAATTGGACGCCTTCGGGCATGGTTAAGATTGGTGGTCTATTCGTCCTTTTTGACAGGTAATTTGTTTTATCAGTAATCAAGGTGACTGGAGGTGGAATGTCTGTAGGTGTACATTGATTACCCGGGTGCGCGAGTTCGTTCACATCTGGGCATTTGACGAACGCTCTCAAAATATTTTAGCAATCGCCGTCGCACCGCTCCAAAACGATGTATTACTGACGTTGTTGATCAGAATTTTGCAAGCTAACTGCTTAACACAGCATACACTTCAGCCACTAGCTGAGCAAGTCGGTTTGATCACGCAACTTAGTTTTGGAACCAGTGAGCCGCACCTTGCTCGAATGAGCTGTCGCCCATGTTATATAAAGAGAGTTTGAGGTAGGTTAGTGGTTAAGACGCGAGCTTACTGACCAGATGCTTCGTCAGACCCAAGACGAACGCTCTCAAAATATTTTAGCAATCGCCGTCGCACCGCTCCAAAACGATGTATTACTGACGTTGTTGATCAGAATTTTGCAAGCTAACTGCTTAACACAGCATACACTTCAGCCACTAGCTGAGCAAGTCGGTTTGATCACGCAACTTAGTTTTGGAACCAGTGAGCCGCACCTTGCTCGAATGAGCTGTCGCCCATGTTATATAAAGAGAGTTTGAGGTAGGTTAGTGGTTAAGACGCGAGCTTACTGACCAGATGCTTCGTGGTTCAGACCCAACTTCAGCATCTCCACTGCTCCTGTTTTGGCCTAGACAACCTTTCACTATCTCAGTTCTTGTTCTTCTTTCGCGCGGCAGGACAGCCAGGCACCGAAAGTAGTTAACTACCACTTTCCTACTTACATGTCGTTTTTTGTTTTTCCGTTCATGGTTGTCTGACACAAAGGTAGCCCCGCTCGCTACTGAAAACACTCAATTAGTGTTGCTGATAATACCGCACCCTTGGAGGTTGCCTGTGGTTGTAAACCCGTTTGACATCCTTGTGCATAGCGTGGTAGTTTCCTGGGATAGAATTGAGCAAAATATATCCTGTCTAGGTCCAAGAAGATAGCCTGGTGGTGGCTTCCGTAGAATTCATCAAAGTTCATCCTATTTAGTTCACTTTTACGGCCAATGCTACTACACGGAATGGGACTCATCTATGGGTAGAATTTGAAACTCTAACCCTCGAAATTCATCAGTTTTTTCAGCACTTTCATGACCATGAATCTTTTCAAATTTAGCCGATTCCGTGGCTAAAAATGTACATCCGCGGTTTTTTGACTTCCTTGATTTTCTTGGTGGGTTTTCCTGAGGACAGTCCGGTAGTTTACCGATTTAGGCGGCGATGCCAGGGTGTGTGGGTGATCAGCTCCACTCTCTGCTTCAGACTTACAGTAGCATCCCTGAGGACTTCAGTTTCTTCCCCCCGTAGTGCTTAGAAGTAAGCTGGCGAAATAATGAAGTTAGCAAGCCTACAGTATATCCGCACCGAATGAGACTACTGGCTCTCTCTCCCTCTATTTCCCGAAACACCAAGGCGTTTCCTTCTTCATCATTTCAGGTCAACTTAGATGGGTAGTAAGCCACCTAACCCTCCATGCTCTCAGTGTCCTTTCTGCCGTGATAGCAATTAATGGACTACCTAGGCATTAGCATAGTAAATACTCCGTTCTTCGAAATGCAAGCTGTAGAGTGCGACTCGAGCCACTCACTTCTATGCCAAGCTGCCATACCTTACAGAGGGCTGTGATGCTCCCAGAGTGGCCAAGCCTGGACAAGTCGAGATGCAGAGGTTGGATTCGAAACATGAACCTGCCGATGAGTAAGTTCGAACCCCAACCATTAAGCTACCCTCAGCAGTATTCTACGTCTAGTTTGTTACGCTATAGGACTGAGAACGAATTCCGTCCTTGTAAATCGCATCCATACTTTTGCTTTCATCTGTATCTTCCCTCATTGGATTTGCTATTCCGTCTTGCTGTTAGCATGTCTCTCCAAAACTAATTAAGGCCGCATTGTTAATTTGCCGAAACATGTCTTTAACTGCAGAGGAATCTCAAGGAACGTTTTGCTTAAATTCCTGTTTCCCATTTTTGGGAAGAACCTTGTTTAGAAGTTAAAAATTATTGGTTGCTATGGCGTCAAACACCGTACCATCCAGCAATGACTGGTTGACAGATCAGCCGTTTGAGGAATCATCTATTCAATTTTATGTAATCTGCTTTAAGATTAGCTGGGCGGGGTTTATTCATTGCAACCCGTCCTAATGGGTTGGTCATTCTCAGCTGCGCAGGTTAAACTATTCTTTTGAAGGACAGGACTTACAGCTGCCAGGTGACACTGCCCTCACTCATCCTGAACTCACGTGTGTGTTGCTCCCACAATATAAATCTTTTGACTTTGTGTAGCTGCCATGGCAAATCGGTCGTTGGGAGCTAATAATCTTGTAAACTGGTTCTATTGATTAATCGCTTTTGGGACGACCACGTTTTTGGTCAACAAGGACATGGGGATTAATTTTCCGTAAGGCACAACTACCCCTCATACCTTGGATTGCAAACTGTTTATAATGAATGATGGATCATCAGGTCTTTGCTGCTTGATGAATGGCTCCTAAAACATCACAACGAGGCTACAGGTGTACCGGTGATACTACTGATGGGGAGGCACGCGAGTAGCATGTGTTGTTCGTAGAATTTCGATTTGCGTCTTTTGAAAGGAAAGATCCGTTGCGGAATTCGTGGAGGCACTTTGTAACATTTGCTTGGATTTGACAGACGAATGAGTGGAGTCAATGAATCTCCAGGAAAGTTCAAGAAGACGCGTTCGGGAGAAGATAGGTATCCAGTTTTTGTAAATAAGATGCATATTAGAGGAAACTACTCACAAGGTTGCTGAAAACTCTTCGATAACATCATAAACGAGATATTCAATTGAGTCTCCCGTGAAAACCAAATTGATTTGCAGATGAGTGTATTTCTCGAATGCAAATTAGAGTTTTGCTTCCCTGTTCAATGGTCTGTAACCGATCAGTTGGCATTTCCTAATAAATAACTCCGCAGCGAAGGCCTTCGTCCTTTCACAGGTGACGGGCGAGATACCTTTTGTTTTGCAGTCATTGTTGGTTGCGGATTTCGAAAAAAGCCTAGAGGAATTCGAGTTCCACGAAGAAACTGGGGGAATCGTGCATGTGGGTTTATCGTACATACTCTCATGTGAATGGACGAAAAAATCGAGAATAAAACAGAGAATTTAGGAACTTGGGGTTACAGTTTTAGATCGTGTGATCTGGAGACCATCGAAGCAACCAGAATCGGCTCTTAGGTGGTCGGTTAGTTTCTCGAATTTTTTGTTAAGGATGGATGATGGAGCTACAGGTTTACTGAAGTGTTTGGGCTTGAGTAGTACACGAAATACTCAAGAAAAGGTGTGATTGACAGCATATCACCAGGGATGTAGCGTGGTGTGGTAAACATGAAGCTTCGAGTTACTTGCAACGCACCAGCATTGGCGGACCAAGGGGGGGCATTTTACAGAGCACGGAATATTGGTTGTTGATCAGGTGGCTGTTGATCTGTTCGCCGGGCTTGGCAATTGGCTTGCAAGCGTTTCGTCACCATACGAGGAGACATCATCAGTGCGCAGTTGGGTGGGTACTTCTTCCTTGTCTGCGTGCGTTTATATAACACTCGAAGGCTATCTGTTATTTTCTGACGTGATTGCTTACTTGAATTGTAACAAATTTAGTGAATCCATTGGTCCGTCTGTGATCTTTGTGGCGTTCCTTTGTGTTGGCTGGTTATCCCAATGCCTTCTGTTTTTAGTAGCTTGGCGCACTGAATAACAGTATTGCCAATCGGTCTCGAACTAGAATTATGGATGAAGCCAGGTTGTTGATTTATTAATTGAAATTATCAAAGAACTGTTGTTTGTACTTTGAATTCCAAAATAATTGCTCTCGTTAGTGACATATAAAGTCGTTCATTTCAAGCACAAGTAAGGTAAGCGGTATTCTGCGGGCAATGTCCTCTTTATCAAAGTATTTCAGACTATCCGGAAAGGATGAGTTTGTCGAACTGGGTGGTTTGCAGTAGGACACGAAGAGTTCCGTGAGTGGATTTCGAAGCCAGAGTCAATCTTTAAGGTTACCGAATAGATCATTAGACCTGAGAGATGTAGGTTTTCGGAATATGCCAGAAAATTCGATGAAACCAACTCGTCATATGCGTACTATTGGGCCAAAATGGTTGGTGTGATACTAACCTGCCTTCCTGTAATTCGACTACTCTTGGTCTTCAACGTGTACGATCACCTTGGGAAGCGCGGGCTCATTGACGAGAGCTCTGACTCAACTTCCACTCTAAGTGTTGGTGAATAGTGAATAGTGTATATTCGTAATACACTACTCATAAGGTTGCTGAAAATTCTTCGAAAGCCCGGTTCTACCCATCTTGTAGTATTTCACTCCACAGACCAGCTGGTTCTTTTCAAACTTCCCAACACATTCTGATTCGCTTAGACAGTCATG